CCTGTGCATCAGCTGGGTTCCTGTGCATCAGCTGGGTTCCTGTGCATTCTCTGGGTTCCTGTGCATTGAGGTTGAACCTTCAGGTGACAGCCACTGCATCTGGTCCTTGTAGGGAGAGCGTGGGGAGGCTCCTCCCCCTGAGGACCTGCCCTCAAACCCCTTCTTTCTCCAGAGCGTTGTCCATGATTGGGCTGATCCTGATAGCCTTTGGCACAGGAGGAATCAAGCCCTGCGTGTCTGCATTTGGTGGCGATCAGTTTGAAGAAGGTCAGGTAAGAACGTGAATTCTGCATGAGCCCCATTAATGATTGATAGCCCTCTAGAGAGCAAATCTCTGGAACAAGTCAGATCTCTGTTCCATTCTTCTCCAGGATACTTGAAAGCAGAATACTAACCAGATAAGTTGGAAGTGAGTTCAGCTCTGAGCTCCATCATCTCTCGTGATTCCCAGCCAAATTGTCATAATCTAACTTTGTCCGTTCCGTGACAGGAAAAGCAGAGAAACCGGTTCTTTTCCATCTTTTATTTGGCCATCAATGCTGGAAGTCTGATCTCCACGATTGTCACACCCATACTGAGGGGTAAGAGCCATCTAGAAGGAACTGGTTTTCTCTCTTAATTATGAGAAAGTCAGGTAAAAAAGGCCAAGTCTTCAAGGTGTGGTGGTGCACAACTTTAATCATAACACTGGGGAGGCAGAAGCAGGTGAATCCCTGTGAGTCGGAGGCCAATCTGGTCTCTATAGGGAGTTCTGGCCCAGCCAGAGCTACTCAGTGAGACCCTGTCTCAAAACAAAGGTTGACTTCTTGTCTTGTTGGTTTTGCTTTGTCCCCTTTTCCTCCAGTGGCCAAGCTTCCACACACACTGGGATATTTGTTAAAATCTAAACTGTAAACTTTCTTACATGTTTTACCCCCTTCTAATCTCTCTTGACTCCTTATTCTAGGACCCCTGGAGACCCCTAGTCATCCTTCCCACACCATCAATTTTCTAATATAAGATGTGTTACATGGGGAACGGTATCGTCCACAAAATTTTTAGGAAGACATATAGTGGGCTATGGCTGACTTTTGGCCTTTCCTCTTCACCCCCTTGTGGTGTTTCAGTGAGTTGGGAACAACTTAGCGAACAAGGTTTGTCCTTCAGTTTCCAAAAGAAATCCTCAGACGTGAGAGAGGAGTGTTGGTGTACGCTTATAATCCCAGCACTTGGAAAATAGAGGCAGGAAGCTGTAAGTTCAAGGCTAACCTAGGCTTGCAGTGAGACCCTGCTCCACAGAACCAAGGGCATATAAGAAGAAATGCCGCCAAACCAAAGAAATACCAGAGATGAGTATCAATAACTCTCAACCACAACCTGATCTTTGCTTGTTCACACTCCACAAAGAGCTTGTGAAGTTTCCACGCAGAGTGGAAGGTTTTTCCATTATACAAACTAACAAAGCCACAGTGTCTCGGGTTGTATCCAATTAAATTCTGAAGTTAGGATCATAGTTTGAAGATGGCAGACACTTAGACCATCCTAATTTGGTTTTTATTCTTGAACTACAACTCCCTCACTTCCTCTCCCACTTCCAGGTTCTTCCGACCAATGTGCATGCTTGAATTACAGAACAGGTCGAAGGAGTGGCCTCCTAAAGTAAAGTCACGACTGCATGCGCATAGTAAACGGAATGTGTGACAAAGGTTCCTACCACTTCATTAGTGACGAACTGGGGAGCCACAACCCCTCAAACAGGGATTTGATTGACAGTGCTCGAGGGACAAGCCTTCAGCTTTGTCATGAATGGGGACCACGTGTACAGTCGTGAGCAGGAACATCTACCCAACCATCACTTCCCAATAGTTAACTCTTCTCCACAGAATTGTGGAACACCCAATTTAAGACAAGACCCAAGTCCCTGTGGGATCTAGTCCTTCCAGAAGGTGCTAACATCCCTCTGAAAGTATCTGTAGGAATCCCCTGTTGTCTTTACAAAACCTTAATGCTTTTGCTTACAAATCTGAGGGTTTCTTCCCTCTGCCCTCGGTCAGAGTGACCAAGTATGGGTCATATCCAGGAACCTGGATATAGCCATCATTTAGGTCTAACTGCTTCCCCCTATGAAGGCAGAGTTGAGGAGTTGCGACCAAAGCCAAATGGACCTGAAAGCCTAAAAGTTAGTTACTGTCTGGCCCTTCCTAGATCAGATGGCCCTTAGCTACCATACTGACAGGACACTCGCAATATTGAAAGGTACTGCCCTTGTCTTAATTCTCCGAGTCCCACATACTCAAGTTAGAGTATCCAGGTGATGGTTATCTCCACTGGTTAGAAAATTCACTGGTGAGGGGCTAGTGAGGTAGCTGCGCAGGTAAAGGTGCTGACCCACATAGTAGGAGAGAATGGAATCCTGTCCTTTGACTTCTAGATGCACACCATCACACACACACACACACACACACACACACACAGAGAGAGAGAGAGAGAGAGAGAGAGAGAGAGAGGCAGAGATAGAGATAGACAGAGAGACAGATAGAATAAATAAATGAATGAATATCAAAATTGAAAAAGAAAACCCATAGATCAAGCTGTACAGATAGTTTGCTCAGCTGGCAATGACATCATTGAGGCAAACAACTAAATACAGAACATGAAACAAAAACAATATGGTGAAATCAGGGAAGGTTTTTTTTTTTTAAGAAATGGGAACTATATATGCATTAGAAAAAAATGATGCATTTTAATCATTATCTCTCCTTAGTTCAGGAGTGTGGAATTCACAGTAAACAAGCTTGTTACCCACTGGCCTTTGGGGTTCCGGCGGCTCTCATGGCTGTTTCCCTAAGTAAGTAAAAATTGGTTGAAGGTACACAAGCCCCTGCCCAGGTCAGGCTCCATATTATCATGGCTAATTTTTTACGTCCACATGCCAAGTTGTAAGAGAAAGTATTGTGAAGACCTGCATTTGGGTGTTTGGCATGCTCTCCCCCTAGGAGAGGAGAAAGTGAGGTGGCCATATTGTAGGAGGGAAACGAGATCTGAAAGGGCTTAGATTGGGTTCACCGAAGCAGATGAGAGGAGGTAATAGAGTCTGCTAGCCTACCTAGCACAAGATTGAGAGCTTCCATTGTCACCAGTATGCAGCAGCTTGAGAAAAGAATCTAGTTCAATGAATACTCCTGCTAGGATCTAAGTTCCCATTGTACGCCATCCCAAGGATGTCTACGCCACCCTTTTCCTGCTGGAAGGAACATATATACTTAGTAGTTATATTTATTTGCGCATGTGTTTTTTATATCAGTGGCTGTATTTCTTTTTAGATAACTTTTAGCTAGTATGCAGAATGGAAGCTTCATTATGACAGTTCATACATGGTTGTCATTGTCTCTTTCTATCTTTTTCATGGTCACCTCCCCATTACCTATGCCAGTCCTTCCTCATCCTTCTGGCTGCTCCCCTTCCTCCCAGAAACAGTTCCCTCTACTTTTAAGAGAGAGAGAGATGGATGGATGGATGGATGGATGGATGGATGGATGGATAGATAGATAGATGGGCGATCTACGGCCATACCATCCTGAACGTACCCGATCTCGTCTAATAGATGGATGGATAAATGAATGGATGGATGATAGATAGATAGATAGATAGACAGATAGATATATAGATAGACAGATAGATAAATGGATGGATAGATAGATGATAGATGGATAAATAGATGATAGATAGAAGCTAGATAGATGATAGAAGACAGATGATAGATAGATGATCAATAGTAAATGATAGACAATAGATAGATGATAGAAGATAGGTAGGTAGGTAGATAGATAGATAGATAGATAGATAGATAGATAGATAGATAAGTAGATGATAGATAGATTCTAGATTCCACATATGTACATTAGTTTTGAGTATTTTTTTCTTAAGAAATGAAAAGATGTAATCTGGAATGTTCTGAGTTGAGAGTTAGTGTGAGAAAGATCTGACCAATGGTCCTCTCGAGTCTCTATGGCTCCTTCGACCTTTCTCCAGGTTTTGTTTCCAGGTCTTACTAGTATCAAATAGAACTATTTTTTTCACCTCTTTTTCTCATATTGAAACAGTTTTGCTTTGTTTTACCATTATGAACCCACTGTCCTTACCCCTTCCCAACATCTCTTCTCCCATCATCCTTCAAGGATGGCCGCCCTCCTCTAAAGGGCTTACTATACTTCTCTCAGTTCTGAGTAGAAAAAGACACTTCAGGTGAATTCTCATCTAGTCCATGTAAGTCATTCTTAAGAAAAAGGTTCTGTGTCTTCTTATGAAAGAATTAAGACCACAGGCATCTGAAGCTCTTCTAGAAATTTCTGTGCTTGAGTTAGGCTTCAGTTTGTCAAAGAGCCGAAAGGTTAAAATAGCGTCTGCTGGCATATGCCAGCATCAGCAAGTTGGTCATGAAGGGCATCTACAGAACAGTTTTGACCCTGAGGGCAGTGACTGTCAATGCCTCAGGCTTAGTGAGGAGGCTTAGTAATTGATACTCTGAGTTATCAAATTGTGACATTGGGTGACTGGAAACCTAATGTAGGATCTCCTACAGAAGTGCTGTCTTCGTGGGTCCTTTTCACAAAATGCCTATTGTTAGCAGCCCCACGAAAGAATAATAGCCTCACTGAAAAGGGTCTCTCATATCCATCAAAGCAGCCGCAGAAGCAATCAATATAGCCGTGCTTCTTCTGTACAATAGTTGGAGGTGGGGTGAGGATTCCACCATTGATGATTAAGTAAACCTTTCAACAGATTAATCCCTTTCTCCTGAATATTAAGAGCAGGAAGAAAATTCCTCTTGCTATTACAGCCAAAAATATTAACGCTGTATTCATTGTCTTTGTAGAATAATGTAAGCCTGCAAAAGCTCCTGTGCCCTTGCTCTCCCTTAAATAGCTAGGAGTTGTGTTCAGATAGCTGTGCTGAATGGCGGTGTGTGTGTGGGGGGGGGTGGGGGGTGATAGAAGGCGTGAGGCTGTGGTTTGTGTGCTGCAGCACAGGTGTCCTGCTCCCCAGAGGCCCTGGGGGTTGCTCTATTCAGGAGCAGTCCTTTACCCGTGAGGCAGGGGAATGGCACTATACGCAATCCCATGCTTCCAGACAACAGGATGGTGCAGATACATGAGCGTCTTTCAGACCACAGGGAGCCCTGGCTCAGGCCACAGTGACACCTCTTCCTCTGCCCTCTGCAGTTGTGTTTGTCCTCGGGAGTGGGATGTACAAGAAGTTCAAGCCCCAAGGCAACATCATGGGCAAAGTGGCCAAGTGCATTGGTGTAAGTGCTCTCTTCCTCCCCGCCCCCTGCTCTCCCCGAACCCCCCCCCCCGCTCTCCCCGCCCCCTGCTCTTCCTCCTCTCCCCGCCCCCACTCTCCCCCCCACCCCCTGCTCTCCCCCCTCTCCCCGCCCCCTGCTCTCCCAGCCCCCTGCTCTCCCTGCCCCCTCTCCCCGCTCCCCCTCTCCCACCTCCTGCTCCCCCCCCAGCTCTCCCCGCTCCCTGCTGCCCCCCTCCCCGGCCACATTAAATCATTCCAGAACTTTCCTCTGCCTTCCACCTCCTTCAAATCAAAGTTCAATTTAAAAAAACAAAGAAAAATTCGACAAAGTTTTGATTTTTCCCTTTAAGATGATTTTTTAGGGCACTTGGGAGTTTTTTTCTGTATACAACTTACCAAAAAGAGCCAGGTGGTGGTGGCACACATCTTTAGTCCCAACAGAGGCATAAAGGATCACAAAAGAGGCAGAGGCAGAGGCAGGTTCGAGGCCAACCTTGTCTACAGAGCAAGTTCCTGGACAGCTAGGGCTGCACAGAGAAACCCTGTCTGGAACTGAGTTTTATGTATTTTGATTTTGCTTGTTAATTGGCTGTAAGAAAACTTAAATACAAATGTGTTGGAACATTCCTATTAAACATGCTTTTCTGGACAGACTGGGGGTAAAACACTGACAATGGGACCCCAACACAGACGTCTGGATTAGAAAGAGAACCTGTTGAACATTTCAGCAAATGTGCCATGCTGGTATCTATTAGCTAAAAATGGGCTTTTCCTCCCATGTTTGTACATTAAGAGGGAAATCATTGAAATGTATTTTTCTGGTATAGTTGATTCTCTTTTTAATTTAATTTTTCTTCCTTTCTTCAGTTTGCCATCAAAAACAGATTTAGGCATCGAAGTAAGGAATTTCCCAAGAGGGAACACTGGCTAGACTGGGCTAAAGAGAAGTACGACGTAAGTCACCTTCCCATCTTCCCCAGTGGACCTGGCTGCCCAGGGAGCAGGCGTGAAAAGAAAGCTCGAAGCAGAGTGTTAGCTACGTGGGCAACACCTTCAGCGTGTCCGCCTAACACTTAGTAGCACATGGAGTACAACTCTGCAGGTGGTTTTGCAAAGCCTTCCAAACAGTGGTTATCATTGGCCATGGTAGATGTGAGCCTGTTAACTGTCTACTCTGGTCAGCTTCCATTACGTGAAACAGAGGAACGGGGGTGGTGGTAACCTTGGGATTGGCATGGAGTAAGCTCTGGTGGCTGAACCCCTAAACAGCTGTTCTCCCTCGGACCCTCATGTGTGCAGAATGTTCTGGTTTCCTAAAGCCTGTGGCCATGTTCTTTAGAGCAAATAACCACCCCCAGCTTGTCCTAGATGCAAATATCCCAACTTTGCAACAGAGTAGCAACAGTTGCTGACTCCAGCCCGGGCTGATTTGTCTACCTGCAGGAGCGACTTATCTCACAAATTAAGATGGTCATGAAGGTGATGTTCCTGTATATTCCACTCCCTATGTTCTGGGCCTTGTTTGATCAGCAGGTATGTGTCTTGTTTCATCAGTAGGTAGTGAGTACGGCTAGGTCACCTGGTCACACTGCATGTTCAGTTCCTAAAAACACTCTCTTCCAGTTTTTTTTTATTTTGCTGATTTAATTGTTGCATCAGATTGAGTTTATTGGTTAAAACATACCCTGAGAGGTTCCGTCCACATGTCTGTTATGAATCAATGAAGAAAATGAGGTTTGTTTACTTAGAGTAACCCTGGGGAGATTGCCTCAGAGCGTCTGGGACCCTTGCCAATCAGAACTGAGGGCAGAGTTTTGTTCTACTGACCCAGGACAGCAGAAAGGTATTGAAGAGATGTAACAGTGAGCTCAAAGCAGCAGACAGGCTTGTAAATGGCTGGGTCCAAGTCCTCCTACTCCAAGCAGGTGCCTAACCAGACTAGACTTGTGGCTTTGTTCTTTCTTTCTCATTGTTGAAACAGTCACACACTTATACAATGTATTTTGATCATATCCATACACAACTACCTCCTTCCAACTGCCCCACCCCACATCCTCTCGACTTCACGTTCTCCTTTATTGTTGTGATGATAACCCAGGTCCAGTTAGTGCTTCCCATATGTGCATAGATGTAATTTGAGGCCATGTGTAGGACACACACTGGGGTCTACACAATCTTGCCAGTTAACCCAGCATGCAACACTCACTAGTTGAACAAGGAGATACTATTTCTTCAAGAGACTGAACAGTTATGCAACACTGTACGGTCAGTACTAGCAGAAGCGAGGGCAATCCCTGAAGAACATTTGAGTGTGCATACACCTCCTTGTCTGTAGTGTGAAGCACAGAGCATCCTGGCAGGACAAAGGAACCTCCTTGAGTGTTGGGTGGGAGTTTAACGGGGATCGGATTTGCATGAGAAGTACAGGCATCCCTGACAGCTGGCGGGGGTGACTTGGGCTCAGAACTGACCCCCCACCCACCTCTGCTGTGAGGCCCACATTGGACATTACGCACAAGGCCCCAGTGACCGGGGCATACTAAGAGCTCAAACAACACAACTCTGCCGTTTTCCTTCTTGTCTTCCCCATGGAGTTGATGAGTTTCCATTGATCCATTGAGTGTTTAGTTGGCCGTAAAAATCATCACACCCTGTAAGAAACAGATGAACTGCAATTAGGCCACCCAGTTTTAAGGCCACCTCTGTCTTTGTAGAGAAGCATTTAAACTCCCTCCATAGCTTTCAGAAGATGGTTCTTTACAATTGTGATATTCTAGATACTGACGCCAGCATACGTAGAACACTGTGTCCTGATGAGCTCGCCCTGAGAGGTGATACCGTGTATTCACACAGCCTTGTGCTTTTGCATCCTTTGAGTTTTCTGGTTAGCTTTGTCTTGGGTTCTTCATGAATCCCAGGGCAGAGTTAGGTCTGCTGGCATACAGCTGGTCTCTGTCTTTTTAGAACTGTGACAGGGCCACAATACTAGAGGCCAGCTGGATGTTTGTGACCACTTCAAATCCCATACCATTTTCGTCCTGATTTAGAAGGTTCAGTGGTGGATCATCACATTCTAAAAGCCGCATGCCCCCGTAACGCAATCAACATGTTCATTTTCCAGGGCTCCAGGTGGACGCTGCAAGCAACAACCATGAGTGGGAAGATTGTAAGTCTGTCTGTCCTCGTGGTCCTTCTGTTCTGGCCGCCATCTCTTCATATCAGTCCCCTGGCCCCCTTTCTCCCTCCCTTTTATGACATTTTTTCCAGTAATATTTTCCTCCTCTTTTTTAGGGAAGTATAGAAATTCAGCCAGACCAGATGCAGGTAGGAGAAAACCCCGGGGTCCCTTTCCAAGGCCCACGTGCTTATGGAGCCAGCGCTAACGGCCCCTCTCTGCTTCCTCCGCAGACTGTGAATGCCATCTTGATTGTCATCATGGTCCCCATCATGGATGCTGTGGTGTACCCTCTCATTGCGAAATGTTTCAATTTCACGTAGGTAGCTCCTTGATTGGGTTGACGGAGATGCTGTTTGGTTCAGGGTTTGGCAAAGACTCTGTTTCCAGAAGCTTCCACCTAGCTCAGCATTTCTCAACTATGCATTATGACCTCTTTGGGAAAAGTCTTTTCACAGGGGTCACCTAAGCCCATCAGAAAACACAACTATTTTTATTATGATTAATAACAGTAGCAATACTATGGTTATGAAGTAGCAACAGAAATCATTTTCTGGTTAGCTGTCACCACCACATGAGGAAATGTATTAAGGGATGGCAGTGTTAGCAGGTTGAAAACCACTGACCTAGAGGCATTTATTTACTTTATTTTTACAGTACTGGGGATTGAATGAAAGAGACTCACACATGCCAAACAAATGTTCTTCTATTGGCATAGAACCCCAAGCTTCTTTTTCCTTTCTATTTTGAGATAAGGATAGTTTAAAATTTATTCTGTGGTCCAGGTAGGCTCTGAACTTGCAAGCCACCCAGGGAGATGGGCTTATAGGCTGTTCTACAAGGCCTGATGGTGGTGAAGACTTTAAAGAAAGCAATTTAAGAGATGGTCAGGAGCATGGGGGATATCTTAATGGGTAAGAGACCTTGCTGTACAAGCATGAAGGTCTTTGTTCAGACCCATAGGACCTATGTCAAAAGCCAGGCATAGGCAGTGTGCACCCACAACTTCAGAGCTGGAGGCAGAGGCAGAAACAGGCAGATTCCTCGAGTGTAGTGACTAACCAGTTCAGCCAAACATGATAAGTTACAGAGTCACTGAAGATCCTGCCTCAGGAAATAAGGTGAGCAGGGTCAGAAGACACCTGACAGCCTATGGCCTCCTCATGTGCGTCCATGGGCTTGTACAAATCCATTCTCATTTGCATAATGCACACATAGAGTTTTAAAGGGAGATGTTTGTATGCAATGTTTCTGAAAATGCTCTTAAAAATAAATAAGGAGGCTATAAATGGAAGCCCGAGAAAAGCTGATGATCAAGGCTCTCATTTGTACATACGTGAAGTGTTAGTTATGACCACAGGATTTCTGGAAATTAAATGTGCTAATACAGATAAGGGTTCTATTTGGCCTCACTAGTTCTGGGCATGACTAACAACAGAAAAGAACTCGTAGATGGCTCAGGCCTGAGGAATGCTTGCCTCTCACACACATGGTCCAGGGCACCCACATACCTGTGACCCCAGCTCCAGGGGATCTGACACCATCTTCTGGCCTTGAGAGTGTCCTCACATGTGTGTGTATACACTTAGAGCATGATTAATAAAGCCCAGAGACAGAAATTGGGGTTCAACTTGAAGGTCAGAAAGCGAAACAGCCAGCCACTGGCTCTTTCCTCTACTCAGTCCGAAATGGCGATCCTGCCTCCAGAAAAACCGCAGAATGAGACTGAGACTGAGAGCTGTCTCCTCCTGTTTTATAATCTCTCTAGTTGTGGGATTAAGGGTGTGCACCACTACCACCCAGTTTCTATGGCAAACTAGTGTGACTACTGGGATTAAAGGTGTGTGTCACCACTGCCTGGTCTGTAAGGCTGATCAGTGGGCTTTTTTTACTCTCTGAACTTCAGGCAAGCTCTATTTATTAAAATACAAATGAAATATCCCTACATACACTCACAAAACAATGACAGCTCCGGAGGTGGCTATCTTTGCAGGGAAGTGGCCGGGCTGGGAGAGGCTGAGGCTTTTCCCTTGGGGCCCACTCTTGGTTTGTCTGGGTGAGACAGGCTGATGTCCATTCTCCTCCTGTCCTCATCAGCTCCCTGAAGAAGATGACAGTTGGGATGTTCCTGGCTTCCATGGCCTTCGTGGCGGCTGCAATCGTGCAGGTGGAAATCGATGTGAGTCTCTCCTGGACCCCTTGTGAGCTTTCTTTGGGGCGGGGAAGATTCGAGGAGACAAGGGGGCTCTCCCCATAAACAGTAGGAACTGCTAGGGTCAAGGACAGTGGGAGGGTGCTGGCGGGGAGGAGGGTGCACAGATTGTCCACCAGCTAGCACTGTGGGTTCTGTCCTGGCAGGGCACAGGAGGTCCTGGGACTGATGGGCGGGCTTCATTAGCTGGAAAGACGGTGTGAGCAGCTTCTGTCTATTGTACAGTCTCCCTAATGGGAGATGAGTTCACAAAGTTGTTCTGAACTCCTTGATGAGAAGAGGCTTATCGTTCACAGGCAGGCACTTCAGAAATACATGCACTGTCCTCTTCAGGGAAAAACACATTTTGGAATTTAATATATCTACTAAGGGTTAATTACTAAACCGATCCTAAAAGCTGTTGGGTGCACTTTTTCTAAACCAGCCCAATGCTGCCTGCTGGAGATAAGACTTTCATTCTAGAGGCAAGGACAAAATGATCCATAAAACTGGAAGAGAGACTCTCTCTTCTCACACACACAGTTCATGGCACTGAACATTCATAAATGAAATTTCCCATCTTAACCATTTTTAAGCAATGTGGCTCAGTACGATTCTCATTACTGTGGATCCCGCACCACACATACTTTCAGAAATTTTCTATCTGCCCAAATGAAGCCTCTGTGCCATTCAGAGCTAACTTCGCGATTTGTCTCTCCAAGGCCTCCCCTCCCCCGTCCAGATACCATTCTACGGTCTGTCTCTAGGATTCTGCTCCGAGCATCACAGGATCATAATTGTTGTGCGATTTCTAAATGATCTTAATAATAAAAACCCCGGGTCATATATAGGGGTAAATGCTGAAAGAACGGAGAAGCAGAACAACCAGTCACTGATTCTAACCTCTACCAAATCCTCAGACCAAACGGGGTATCCTGTCTCTAGGGATCCTCAGACTGAATGCCATGATCGCCTATGCCCTCCCACCTTATCTTCCTCTCTCCGCCCAACTGTATCCCTTCCTGTCTCCACCTCCCAAGTGCTGCGATTAAAGGTGTGTGCCACCACTGCCTGGCCTCTGTGTGGCTTAACTGCACACTCTGATCTTCAGGCAAGCTTTATTTGTTACAGCACAAACAAAATATCACCACATATAATCATGGGGCATTTTTCCTTTTGTGGTTGGCTTCTTTTATAACACCCTCAAGGTTTACCCTTTTTTAGAGGATATAAAAAGATCCCCTTTGTTTTTAAGGCTAAATAATGCTCCATGGCTATGCCAGATGTAACCAGTAGGCTTATCTGGCTGTTTGTCACATCTCCTTGGATGCAGCTATAGACTACAGAGGAGAGTGACTCCCAGACCCAGGGTGACAGTGGCCGTCCATAGGAGTCCTCACTGTTGATTTCCTTCTCTCTTTCCTAGAAAACTCTTCCCATCTTCCCTACAGAAAATCAAGTCCAAATTAAGGTCTTGAACATAGGAAACGGTAACATGAATGTGTATCTTCCTGGAGAGACTGTGGTACTTGACCAAATGTCTCAAGTAAGTGAGAGGCCATGGGCCTCCTTGTTTGTCTTCTCCCCTGGCTTGCAACACATTTCAGAGGATTCGTTCTTATGGGTCCTCGTATAAACCCCAGAGCCAGTCTAAGATTGGCGCATGCTGATGCCCATGACATATCATTCTCTAGGCCGGCGGGCCTCTGACTTGAATGTGGTACCCTGGGGGAGGCAGACTTGATCTGTAGGTCAGAACTACTGTATCTCTGTAACTTCCCACATGCTGCTGCCCTTCCAGCAGCAGGGGGTTCTGCGGCTCCAAACTGGGCCGACAGCGTCCCTGAGGAGATTTGGAACAATCTCTACAGACCAAGAGTGTGACGCTGGCGTTTCACGTATGGAAGCCAGCGGACACTCAGTCTACATGGGGAGGCACACACAATGCTGTATACAGAAGTATATCTGTCCTGGTGTTCACAATGCTGGTGTTGAAACCCAACTCTAAAGGTCATTGCCCTTGAATACTGGTTCCCAGCCTTGAGTCTGGTCACTTGGAGAACCTTGAGGTCCTAACCTCAATGGTGTGGGTTCATCTACTCTCATTCCTGGTCCACCACACTTAGAGCAGCGAACTCAGACCTGACAAGCTGATGACCTTGTTGAAGGTGTTGGAAACTTGACTCCTGGCCATCAGGAAGCCCATATTGGGTCACCAGGGCCATTGCTTTTCCTCTGGTGGTTTTTGTGTTTGTTTTGTTTTGTTTTAAATGTGTATGGTGTCCTGCCTACATATGTGCCTGGTGCCCTCAGAGGCCAGAGGAGGGTATCAAAGCCCTTGGTGAAATTATTCATGGTTTTGATCCACCATATGGATGCTGGGACTCAAATGTAGATCCACTGGAAGAACAGCTACTTGACTGTTGAGCCATCTCTCCATCCCCAGTTTCTGGTACTGTTCTTTACATAGTTCTTTTAATGCTGTGACAATGCTGAAGCAAGCATGGATAGCCCGTATACGGCAGTTCTGTGGAACTTGTCCATATTGAGTTTCACGGTCTAAATTGATGAGGACAACTGACCAGGTCTCTTCCTCAAGAGGGTACCAGATCTAATTACACCAGATCTCATTACAGGTGGTTGTGAGCCATCATGTGGTTGCTGGGAATTGAACTCAGGACCTTTGGAAGAACAGGCAGTGCTCTTAACCACTGAGCCATCTCTCCAACATATCATAAGTGGTTTCACAGAATGAGTTTCCTTAGAGCAAAACAAAATAAAGTGTTTGGTGAATGATATAATCCCTGTGGCAATACAGAACTGTATAGAAGTGTCCGTGTGGGTGGGAGGCCAAGCGTGAAGTCCCTACAAGGTATTTTGGATGTATATGAACTTGGATTGCCATGTAACATGGCATTACAGTGTTCAAATGCACAGTGCTGACTCTACCTCCTCCCCCACCCTACCCCCATGCAGACAAACGGTTTCAAGACTTTTGATGTAAACAAGCTGACAAGTGTAAACATATCTTCTCCTGGATCTCCAGTTACTGGAGTTGACCCTACATTTGAGGCAGGTCAACGCCACACCCTTCTAGTATGGGCCCCCAGTGGTTACCTTGTGGTAAGTAGGCGATACGTATAGCTTTCTCTTGGCTATTGCAATATTAGAGACACAGCTTTCAAGTTTAGATTTTATTATGTTTGAGTATTTTATCTGTATACACATTATGTGCACCCCATGGGTACCTGGTGTCTGAGGAGGTCAAACAGGGCATCAGATCCCCTGGAAGTGGAGTTGTGGATAATCGGAAACCACCACATAGGTTCTGGGAACCAAACCCAGGTCTCTGCAAGAGCAGCAAGTGCTCTTAACCACTGAGTCACTTCTCCAGGCTCAGGATACAGCTTTTTATTGGCATGACATTGCTTTATCTACATAGAGTACTATATTAGCCAATCTTCTTTCTTCAAGAACACAGGTCATTTGACTTCTAGTAAAGGGTTTGGTTGGTGGATAAGAAGGATTAATATTAATTATGATTTAAAAGGAAAACTAGGGGTCAGGTGTGGTGGTGCACACCTTTTTCACCAGCTCTCAGGAGGCAGACACTAGCCTGGACTGTTAGCAAAGTCCTGCTCAGCTGAGCATAGTGCCACACACCTCTAATCCCAGCCCTCAGGGCAGATACAGGAGAATTTCTTTGACTTCCAGGTTAGAGTGACACAGAGGGACTCTGACTCAAAAAAGCAAAATAATAAAAATGTAAAAGTAAATAATATTTTGCTATGATAATGAGTGTGTGCCCACGCTTATGTGTGCACACACTCTTTCGTGTATATGTGAAAACATCACATGGATACATATGTACATGTGTAAATATCACATGGATACATATGTAATTCTCAGAGACGTTTTGAGATAAATCACTTAACATGTCTTTATTTGTATGAGTCTTTTAAATGTGCCCTTTATTAGAACAGCCTTACAAAAGTATGGTGTGCATACCAAATACAAGGAAGAAAATAATTGTGGAATATTTGTTGACAAGATGCAGACATGTCATTTGGTATATGAAGAGTGAAGATGTCGTTGAACCAAATAAAGGAACTTCAGTCAGTCTGAAGGGAATTTGAAAAAAAACATACAAAAAAACTCGATGTACAATTAATGCCATTGGCCATCTGCTTAATCAGGAAGCTGTGGAGGGGCTCTTTCTGTTGGGAGGGTGTCCAGCCTGTGGCCCGCAGGCAGCACACACTCCAGGGTGTCTCCGAGCGTGACTCAGCACAAATGTGCATACTTAAAGCCTTAGAAGAGTCGTTTTGCAGTGATTTTCCTAACTCTCACACGGCTCTCACACATGAACTTTGTGTTGACAACACAGTGTTGCAACGTCCAAAGGTCAGACAGTCTAAATTGTTGGAGAGTCATGCTCTTTGGAACCACTGACAATCAGGGATCAATAACAGTAGAAACATGTGTTAGCCTGGTGAGAACGCAGGAATGAAGAAAGGGACAAGGGCCTTATCTCCCAGGACAAGGGCCAATATCATGAACTCAAAGTCTGAAGTGTTAGTGTGAATTGATTCTAATGGGCTAAATATTAGGAAATCATTTTATTGTTTTATTTATGTATGTGTGTATGTGTGTGTGTGTTGTATATGTAATGAGTCTTTTTCTGACCCACCAGTCAGCTCCCAAATAACAACACAGAGACTTACATTAATTATGAAAGTTCAGCCTTTAACTTAGGCTTGTCTCAACTAGCTCTATAGCTTAAATTAACTCTTTTATATTAATCTACATTCTGCCACGTGGCGTTAACTCTCTTTCATCTTGCACTTCCTGCTGTTCAGTGTCTCTTCCTGTCCCCACCTTTCTTCTTCCCCATGTCCTCTCTGCCCCAGAAATCTGCCTAGCTATTGACCATTCAGCTTTTTATTAAACCAACCAAAGTGACACATCTTCACAGTGTACAAAAAGATTATTCCACAATCTATGTGTTTGTGTGTAACATGAGGGGGCCGGCTTGTTGGGGTTTCTGTCCCACCCGGTACCCCACACAATCACACAGAGATCTCTATAAGTTATAAAGCTGATTGGCCCATTAGGTCAGGCTACTTATTAGCTCTTATAACTTATGTTACCCCATTATCCTTATCTACATTAGCCACATGGCTCCGTACCTTTCTCAGCTGGGCAAGTTACATGCTGCCTCTTCGGTGGTCTGCGCAGGAGTGGCAGAGGGAGCTTCCTAGAATACTCCCAGTCTCTTTGCTCCACCTCTACTTCCTGTCTGGCTTTCCTGCCTATACTGCCTGCCTGGCCAATCAGCGTTTTATTAAAATATGATTGACAGAATACAGATAATTCTCCCGCACCATTTGTGTATATATGTGTGTTTGTATATGTGTGTGTTGTGTTATGTGTGTATATATATGTATGTGTGTGTCGTATATATGTACATGCATGTGTGTTGTATATATGTGTGAATGTGTGTATATACTCAATCTACATAATTGTAACCACACAACGAGGTAAACTAACCAGCCATATAAACAACCTACAACCCTCGTGCTGTGTATGTTTATGTGTGTATGTTTATGTGTATGTGTGTTTATTCATGTTTGTGTATGTGTATATACCTGTATATGTGTGTGTGCTGTGTGTATTGTGTGCATGTGCACATGATGGCACATAAGAGAGCAGAGTGTGCATGCCACAGTGTGTGTAAAGGCGTGAGAGGACAGCTGTGACCTGAGTACATGGCTTCCAGGGGGTGAACTCAGAGAGACAGCCTTACACATCAAGGCCTCCCACACTACCCGTCTCACTGGCTCAGGAATATTTTTATTTTATTTTATTTTTCTCTCTTAGGTGAAAGATGGGCTTAACCAGAAGCCAGAAAGAGGAGAAAATGGAATCAGGTATGGAGATTTCTTCTGAAACTGTGCTTTAGCTTCTAGCAGAGCTTGGCACATTCCTGTAATCAAAGCTGGTTATAACACGAGGATAGCAGTGCTCCGCCTGCACCAAGAGTGCCGGCTGCTTCAGCCAACATAATCCATCATCTTAATAAACGAGAGCAGAAAGTCCACTTAGCTTGTCAACTGATGTAGAAAATCAGTCTGGCAGAATTCAGGATTCATTCATCTCTCACACACACATACAAACTCAGACTCACACACACACTCTCACACACATTCTCTCTCTTACACACACACACACATACATACACTCTCTCACACACTCACACACATACACGCACACTCACACACATATACTCTCACACTCAC